ATTAAATTTGGTTTCTATTCTGTATTGTATAATAGGCTGCGGTATACAGGGGTGGTTACAGTCGGTTCGCCCCCTATTGAGTGTAATATCAATAATATTATATATAATTGTATGCCAGAAGTGTATATTAACTGTTAAATTGTAGTTTATTTTATTCACTTTTGATAAAAATTTGTTTTCATTTAGTTATTAATAGTCCCATAATTTGATGATTAAAATCCGGATAAAGATTTTTATTTTATATTTTTTTAATTAATTGCTATAAATAAATAAATGTTTGTTTTTATAATTTTTTATTTAAATTGTTATTTATTTTTCTTGTTGTATATTTGTTTTATACATTTTAATTCAAAAAATGGTTGTTTAAAGCATTTATGAAATTAGATAACAATTTAAGGATTCTTTACAATAAGTTTGAAAATTGATAACAAATATTATGAGATATTCTTATAATGTATTGACTGTATTGACTCAAATCTTATAGAATTAATTAATTTAATTGAAAATTTTATATATATTACATATTCTTTAAATAAATGTCTGGCAATAAACTCAAAACAATATCTTATAAATTAATAAAAATGGGTTTAAAATATTAATTAAATATTACAATAAAGATAAATCCGAAAATTATATATCAATATATAGTTATCATTTGATAATAAGGAGTATATTTACGATGATATTCATGCAAATGAGTATCAATTAATAATTTAATTAATTTTAGACAATACTTATTGATAAATAATTAAACAATATTTTAAAATGACATTTGGTTTGTAATGTTATAAAAATTTATACAAAACATTGAAGTATTTTTGTAGATTTGAATTCGTGTTGAGATGACTTCAGAGATTTGTTAAATTATATATAATATTATTGATATTACACTCAATAGGGGGCGAACCGACTGTAGCCACCCCTGTATACCGCAGCCTATTATACAATACAGAATAGAAACAACATTTAATAAATTACAACAATTAACAAATGGTAAATCATACGCCATATCCAGCGACGGGACCGATACTGTGTCCTAAGTATGGCTCTGCATATTCTCGACCATATCTGCAACCATTTATATAACGTTAAAATACAAAATAATGCAAACATATTGTAAGGAATGTACAAACCCTGCAATATTGGCATACGTGGCGACGGGTTGTGCGGCCGCCACAGCAGACGCATAACTATTGGGGTTTAAAATATAGTTTTATTTGCTATAAATCACATTATATTTAGTAAATTAAGTGCAAAGGAGTGTTGAAATCGATCACGAATTGAAAGAAAGAATATACGAGAATTGCTAGGAATTCATAGAAACCACTTCTAAAATCTGATTTATTGATTAAATTATTGAATTCAAAGCATTGAGAAAACATAAAAGAAATGGAAAAACTGAGAAAATATATCACAACTGAATGATAATAATTCGGGCAAAACTCTCCACTGAATAGGGTTTGCGTGAAAAGAGTAAAAAAATTCTCATCACTATTGGATTCAATGGTTTTCCGTTGAAGAATCGACTGTGACTTTAGGGTTAATTCAATTTGTGTCGCTTATCAACACTCTTACGGTCTTAAAGGTTAAGCCTTTTTCCACTTATAGTATAAGTCATACCTTCGAGCGGCGGCTGCAGTATATGCGGCACTCGCGGCATACGACGCCTGAGTAGAGATATGTAATCAACAAAATGTTATTTTTTCAAAATATTATGCCATAAAATGGATCAAAAGAGATATTGGAAGAGATTTTCTTTTACACAACGGATTGCAAGTCATCACAAGAACGAGAAACACATTAAAAATAAAAACACTATTATCTATAAACTAATTAAATATTTATAACATAACTTAATTTCTAGAAAATTGTCAATTTGCAAAATAATGTTTAATATTTGTCAAAATTATAATCAATAAAATAAATTTTGATAACAATATATTCTCGACGACTCTATTCTTATAATAAATGCTTAAAAATGCATTCATTTTTGTTTGACATTTAAATAAAGTTGTGAGATGTGAGAAACTTAAATTAATTTCTCCGTTTTTATGACAAGCGTTTGAATGTCTGTATTTGGAGTGAAGAACAGCACAATTGTTAGATTAGACACATTTGCTTAGAGTCTGAGATAGTATTTCGTGTTTAATTAATCTCTTTGTTTGCTATTGAATAACAAGTGAACGTAATTTAGTTTTAGTAAATGTTTTTTATTTTTGATGAATTACTTGTCCATTGAGAGGTAAATTGTAATGAAAAATATCATAAATTATGTAAAAGAATATCTCTTTCCTAAAAGTTTTATTTGTGTTTAATTATTGAACGCATAGATTGTATGGAAATGTGATATAATGTGTGATACTTACAGGCAATGGATAAGCCCTCTCAGCTCCAGCCGCATAAGCTAAGAAAGGATCTTGATATACATTCCTGTTGAAAATTTGTTAATAAAATGGTAAAAATATATTCATATAAATTTAAATATTATTAATGTAAATACATTAAATAAAATGTATATAAATCCATGCATTCAAACAGTATATAACAGTAAATACTCTGCAACTCATCAATTCATGCATTGCTTTAATAGTCTTCTGAATAATTCAATTAATTATCTTTTTGCTCAAAATTCTTAAACATGTGTTTAAATCAATATTTGTCTTAAAGTTTTCATTACACGTAAAGTAATGTAAATTCTTATCACAAAAAATGCTTAAAATGTTTGCTCATGAGAGTATATTTCAATATTTAATGCATCGCTAATTCATTTTATGTATAATTTATTTAAATCACAAGAAAAAACTAATGCAACAAATGTTCACAAATGCTATTATTATTAATAATAAAGACATTGTTGTGATTTTGAATTTGTATAACTTATAAATATATAAATCACAATAGACTTAACAAATTGATTAATTGCTATAAATAAATGCCTTCAAAATCCAATACATGATAATAGTTGTAATCAAAAATTCAATAAAACAGTCAATCCGGTGATGACTGTGGCGATTGACTTACACATGCGGGGTAGCAGTTATTGGTAGTGGTGTAGGATGTCTTGCAAATGCTGCCAAAGTGCCACTCCGTGCCCGACCTCTTTGTATGGCACCTCTCAATGTGGTCACTGCTATCAGTGATCAGATCAACAGCGGATCAGTGATCAGTCATCACATGCCGTAAGAGAGATATAGAGAGAAGACAAGAAGACGTGTCGGAAAATCAAATAATTGAGAAATAAAACATGCAATCAATAAACCATCAAATTCTTAGTCATTCCGTTAATTCATATTTAAATTATATTTCACTAATATTTGAAAATCACATTAAAGTCCACAACACATACTATGTATCGTAAATATATTATTTTCAATTGCCATTAAATTCATATATTATTTATATAACATTAATTTTAATATATTTAATTAAGCACATGTCACACTTGTTTTAATAATTAATGATTAAGTTTTTCGGTTATTAAACTTTTAATTTGATTACAAAGTTGTAAAACTAAAACTCATGTAACGTTAATACTCAATATTAATGTACAGTAAGTTTTATTATTTTATTTTATTTTATAAAATTTCATTAAAATTTTAATAATCTATATTCCAATTAAATTGTGCAAATTTATGTAAATTCAACATAGAGTATAAAATATTTAATATACAGTAAACACAATTTAAACTTAATAATTTTGCCAAAAACTCATTTTATATTTTCTAATACACGATATACACAGGGATTACAAGAGAATTATATGAAAAATATAAGAAATTAGACATTTTGGCAAAACTTTGTTGGAAAAAGTAAACTCATATATAATTCATTGGTATATAATATAGTTATTAATAATAGATTCTATAAAAATAGATCAAAATAGAGAGAATTCATTGAGAATTTCAATAAATAATTGAATGCATTCAATAGGAGATCATTATTATCACTGGCGTTGTTATTCAATGGAAGCCTCGGGTGTCTTATGAGACCCAAGAGTGGTATATACTTGAGATTTGAAGAAAGCATTTCGATATCGAAATGAACGCCAAAATGTATTTCATGCAAATATTTGCGCTAATATTCTGCTATATTTCTCAGAGTATCGCAAATATTATGTAATTTTTTATGAAATTCAATTCAAATAGAGAAATGCGAGCCCAAGAAAAAGGATCCGCTCTTCCATTTAATACTAAACAACTTTCGATCAAAGAAAGCAATGATTAAAAATTCATGAAAAATATATATTAGATTTTGATGAACGCCAACCGAACCGATAAAAAATGCATTTTAAACACAAAACACAATATAATACTAATCATTGAATTTCATATTAAAAGCGGCATTTTTGTGGTGACATTCACTTTCTTTATGTCATCACCACTTCGTTCCTCTCCTCCACTTCTAAAGCATTCAGTTTTAACGCAGAAATAATTATCATTTTATTTATAAAATTTGTCATAAATTATGAGAAAAATAAAATCCATTGTAAAAATCTTAAAATTCGAAGATTAAAATTAAAATTAATTTAATTTACAAAATAATTCGGTAATTTAATTAAGCGTTAAACAAAACATTTAAATTAATAACAATTAAACTAATTTTGTGAAAATTAAAATATTAAATCTAATGAGAAAAATAATTAATTCATAAATTTTTACGAATTGAATACAAAACTAATAATAATTAAGATTAAGAATTAATAAAATAGAAATTAATGCTTATATTTCGGAGATTAAGATTAACATAACTTTTAGAAATACATTGATATGTAAATGAATTAATGAATAGAGATATTGTAATATCGGTTACAATAGAAAAGTCTCACAAAAGTCTGTTTTCCGGAATGTAATCACAAATAAATTGACGGCAAATATTGGAAGACGACATACCATTGGGTACTGGAGTGAGGGAACCATTCTTCTTCGATTGGATCCGAGCCGTAGCGTTGTTTACCTGTTTGGGACACATATACAATACACACGTCAGTTCACCATTAGTCTCATATATCATAAATGTTTATTTCACACCATTTTCTATTGTTTTTATCAAAACAAAACACCAAAAATTCATTTGAGTTTTAAACATAAATTTAATTTTGAAATTGTTTTTATAATCAATTTATAAAATTTATAAAATATATATAATTTTGTATAATTTAAAACAAATGCTGACATTATTCACAACTGTACTAATCTTGTAAATGATAGACTAAATAAGTCTATCTATAATATATAATCACATAAATGTAATGTTAGAAATACTTTTCCATAGAATTAATGTTCATTTATAACATAATAAATCCATAAAAATTCTCATTTAATGTTTATTTGATTATTTCATACGTTAATAATAAATGATTAAATCTCTGCGAATATTAAATTCAATTATCAATATATACTAATATTATATAAAGTCTTGTATTAATGGTTAAACTAATTTATATTGATTTTTCAAATTACAAAACTAATCAATAAGTGTTGGCTAAGAACGAGAATGAAAAGCTAATTATATGAAAGTTTCGTTTTGATTGGATTGAGCGCTGGTCTCAACTGATTAGGATTGGACTTTCATATGGATTACTGGCAATCAAACAACAATACAATACTTGACTTTAACCTCAATCTTTCTGCCCTCGACTACCGTTCCGTTGAGTGCATCCCGCGCTCTGTCCGCGTCGTCTGAATTGGCAAACGTTACGAAACCAAAGCCCTAATCAGTACAAGAAACTCATTTATTGCTATACTTTTCTTAATAAATGGTAATTTCAAATGGCATTCAATGACATGCCTTCGATCCGCGTTCGTTGAAAATGATCTCAACGTCCAGAATATGGCCGTAAGTCTGCGAGTAGTGGGAGTGAGAGTAGAGACGCCAACATTAGATATCAATAAATAATGCAATCCATGCTATGATTGCATTAAATTAACAATGAATGCAATGTATTGTTTACCCCAAACAAGTTGCGTAAGTCTTGATCTCTGAATCGAAAGGGAATATTACTGACGTGCAGTCGTTTGGGTTGAGTGCCATTCACTCGCACGTTAGCGTCGGCCGACTGTTGGCTCATGTAGTTCTCGTCCGCCGATAGACACAGTTCGCCACCGCTTTCCAGATCCGTTTGCTTCTCGCGTGTCATACAAACAAATGGTAGGTTTGAGTGAAAAATACTTTTCATACGATTCTGTAGTTCTAAACAACTATTCGCTGCAAAAACTTAATTAAATGCTTTTAAAAGTAAACTAATCATTAGATTCGTTCACTTCTTCACTACATTTTAGGGCCATTCGAGCGAATAATGAGTTCATTCACGGAATCAATGGAAGAAATTCAAAGATTCACTACAAGTGAACACAAGTATATTCACGAATGGCATGAAAGAGAGATTTCCCATTGAAATGGTATCGTATATTCAAACAGACGACTCAAATGTAATGCAAAAGAATTGATCGTTAGGTTTACTGTTGTAAAGCGGAATAAAGAGTCCCTTAAAAAGTAGATACGGTTTTATAACACAGACATAGCGTTGGGACTATAGATTGAAACACTAATATCAGTTAAACTCGAATAACAGCTCATTCCCTATAATTGTTGTCCACTTTGAGTGTTAGTCGATTGAAATGGTGTGGGAATGGAGTCCCAGTCCATCACTTATACAGTATAGCAAATGGCACTCGACTTTCACACAAATTGAAAGCAAAATCCTATTCTCTTGACGAGTGCTTTCATTACTGTTTGTGTCAATGAGTTTAGAGGGAGAGAGAGAGAGAGAGAGAGAGAGAGAGAGAG